TATATAGCTTTAATGCACATAAAAAAAACAGCTGCCTGTTTATGTGAAAATACATTGATGGGGTTTTTTCTTTGCACTAATAAATTTGTGGAGTTGTAAAGTATTTGTCTCGCATCAATTATATCACTATGGAAAATTTTCAAATATATATTGTGATAAATATTTTTACCCATATTGCCCTGCCCTAGTGAGCACGTAAATAATCTATAGTACTGTGCAAAAGCATTCAGCCACCCATCATTTCTTTATTTTTTCATTTGAAGGAGCCGGACTTTCTTGTAATTGTTTAAAGTGCTCTCGAGCAATAGTTCTCCAGGTTTTCTGAAGATCTTTCAAAGAATGTTTTGTGGGGGTTTTTTGGCTGCTTTTTCACTTATTTTCAACCCAGTCCTTGTGCTTGACTATTTCCAGAAGATTTTTCTGTTTGTTTGTTAAGTTTCTTAACACTGACCTACAAATCATTCAAGCATTAAAGAAGGCTCCTAACTCAGGATATGAACCAGTGTTGTGTCTATACATAACAGACAACTTGGCAAAAACTAATTGTACCTGCATGCACTTTGATACTAGCATCCTGTCACAAAAACACATAATTTGTTTCCTCTTATAAAAAAAAAATGCTAAAGATAACACAGTTTGTCAGGCATAAAAATAATATTTTACCCCAACTAGGTGATTCCCAAAATGCTATAACCCAAAAACCTGGCATAGATTGGCAAAAACATGAGGAAATTAAACAATTTGAGGACCAAAGAACAAGTGGCAGGCCGAAAAAACGATTAATGGCAGATGAAAAGTATCTGATACACAGCGGAACACTGTCAGTCATGGACCAGCCTCCCCAGAGCCCGAACCTCAACATTACTGAAACAGTGGGATCATCTTGACACAAGAGAACAAAATGAAAGGCATCCAAGATCCAAAGAAGAGCTTTGAATGTCTTCAAGGAGCCTGGAGAACTATTTCTGAAGACTACTTTAAGAAATTACAACAAAGCATGGCTAAGAGAGTTCAGACTGTGTTGACAAATAAACTTGATTTCTGCAGACTACTGTAAATAAATCCCTTCTATTTTTTTATTACTACATAATTCTGTAAACAAATTACATACTGCAAAGCTAAATTAAACAAAACAAACAAACAAAATAAACACGTATTGATAGATAAACAATGATAAAAATAAAATTAAAAAAAGCTTGAGTAATAAACTCTAGTTGGGGGAAAAAAGAAAAAGGGAGGAACCATAAAATAATAGAAATCATATTTGAAAACATAAAAGCTTATAAGCTGCAGATAAGGTTGAACAGGGCTTTCACCGCTGTCAAACATCTACTATCATGATATCTTTTCTAGGAATCTCTGAGTAATACCTTGGAGCATTGGCTCACAAGGTCAAAATACAATACAATGATCAGTTATCATCCTCAATGTGGTAGAAAGAAAATGTCCCATAATCTCTAGAAAATTGTGTTGTGATAAAAATAAAAAAAAATAAAAAATAAAACACAGATTAAAATGTTTCCCCAACAAACCAATTGATTTAAAATGATTTTTTTTGTCTTTTATTTATTTAGTAACAAACAATAAAAAAATGCCTGTGCCAAAGTTTAATGACAAACTGAAGTAAACTGGAATGAACTAATGAACCACATAACCTAATCACATGTCTTCTTCCTTGGGGAACACAGATGGATGAGATAGCGATACTGGGCCAAATGAATTTGACCACCATTACTTTTGACCGTTAACAATACTGACTTTCCTAGAGTGTTGTGAACTGCATCAAGCTGGCAACAGTCTTTGTGAGATGTGATTAAATACACTTTAACTGGAAGGTAGATGGTGGATTTTAGTATTAATTTGTCTTCGTTATGTGTGGATGAAATGTTGACTTCGTGATTAAAGTCATTCTGAACAGAGGACCTGGTGGTTCACACACTGAGGAGTGCCTGAAATGACTTTTTGTGAAAATTTCTCAATAACACACTTAAATGGATTCATACCTCACAACAAGTCAGGAAGACCAATTGCTAGTTCCCAAATTTGGTTCATTTACAAGAAAATGTGGTCTAATGAGAAAATTAAATCTTGTTATAGCTGACAAGCTAGAAAACAAAAAAAAGGAAAATGTTAAGATGAATGGCTGTGACTGGATTAAATCCATGGTCCCTAACTTCAAGGGTTCATAGTTCAGTTACACTTACATGACTCAGCTTCTCACATCTTTCCCAAGGATGAACTTTCCTGATGTTTCCTGATGTTTCATTAGCACCTGTTCAGTGTAGCTATGCGTTTACTCTCCGTTTAGCTCTGCTGAACATCATCAGCTGTTTATGTTAGTGTTTCCAAAAATGTGTGTTGCCAACAGTGAAGTTAACAAGTCCCTTCGGGTGGTCAAAGTATGCAACGATAACACTCATAACAGAGGTGAAAGGTGTTTCATCAGTCTCTTCTTTACTTTTTACATTTTCATTTATGAGTCATAAATATGCAAGCTTGTTTGCACCACTGGGCCAGGCACAGCTAAGCCATCATTTCAGGTCATATCAGAATTTCGAGTTCTGGTATGAACTGATATGAACAACTACAAATTTTGGAGGAATGCCCCAAAGTTTCATTATCAGTGCTGGAAACAAGCTTCCATATTATAAACACCAATACGCATAGATAACTCCTACCTAATTCTAGCCACTAATATTGGACCCCCAGTATATCGGCTGGGGTCTAACACATACAGATGCTTTATATAAACTGCATTTACTTTCTAAAACCAACGCTGCACAGAACTTTACGTTTTTTAAAAAATATGGGCGAGAAGCTTGCGTTTTTTTTTTTTACTTATGGAGAAAACGTGTGTCTTCGCCGTGTAATACAAAGTAATCCCCCACTTCTGAACGGAAAATACATTGAGGATAACTAAAACTGTGACAGCACAAAGGCCCCTCTAGTAGGCTTATTTCGACATGTGATTTGATCAACAGACACGGGATCAAAGACGACTGCTGGCACCGGTGTTCAAAATGTGACTTTGTAAATAGCCACTGGACAGAAAACAAGGTTAGCCGGGAAAGCCTGCCAGTCGGCCCAGGCAGACAGACGAACGCTCGCATTCCACCCGATCCAGGATAAAAATAGGCAGCAAACTGGGTGACACACATCTTGCTAGGCTAATGTATTACAGCGACTCAGCACAGGTTTGATAACAGGTCTTGTGGGAGGATGAGGGTAGCGGAGAGTCGAGATTAAATTACGCAAATAAGCACCCGGTCGTTCCTGGACTTCAGCGTTTCGGCTCAAAGCGCCTCTGAAGTTAAATCCACACAACAGCTGGCTAACTTACCGTTAGCCGGATTAGCTCCCTGGCTAGCGTACTGGTATTTCTGTTGAGCAGAGGAAGTCACGCAATTGCAAATCCACGACTCGGACGAGTTACGACTGTTGAACACCTTCATAACACACTTGCAAAAGTTTTCAAGCAACACTTTTAATGTATTCCCCAACAAGAATTGACAGCATAAGAGCTAGCCAGGTAGCCACCCCTCCTCCTCATTCCCCTCCCGCTGTGCCTCCGCCTCTCATCCACTCTAGTCCGGGGATCGAGATGTAAACAAGGGCCTCTGGAGAAGCTCGGGAGCAAAGAGGAACATTTACACAACCGCTGCGTGAATTTCCACTGTTTAAAGTCGGTGGGGTTTACCTCTTAGTGCAGAGTCAAGCCAGCCCGCGGTGACAACCAGAGGCGAGTTTGGAGTAAGGAAATCCCAAGAGCGATTTACACGCTTTTGCTTGGCTGGTAGACGGAAGATAGACCGTTACAGGGGTACTTAACAGTGACGTCACGTCCGCGTTTCTCTCGCAGCCTTGCGCTCTCTCTCTCTCTGTAAAGAAAGATGCAGCACTTCTTGTTTTGTCCGGTAGTATTCAAGCACCAAAGATCTGCCTTGTTTTGTTCCAAACATGCATCTGGTTAAATGCATGTTTTGATCAATATAATTTGACCTTCACTATGCAGAGAGATTGATTTATTGATTTCATGCTGAAAAGAGGATTAATTCTAAATTCAAATTTCTCAGGATACTGTAGCCTATGTCCACTGTATACAGTCGATGGTTTACACACATAGAAAATTCTCTCCCGGCATATTGCTCTTATAACGTGACACCTAAATCCCATCCAGGTTATAAAGATTCCATAAGTAACTGTATAGTCTGGGACTGTGTTTCCTTATGCCCGTTCAGTAATCTAAAAAATAGTTACTTTTGGAAACTTCATGTTTAACAAACGCTTACAAGATTAAAGCTCTCACACAGTGCAACATATTTACCTTCGTAATTGAGCCAGGTTGACAGAAAACTGGCAACTGCTCTTGTTATCAACCAGAGTACTTGTGATATTTCTCAGTATTTATTAAAAATCTGATTCATGTATAATGCAAGTTATCATTTGTTGCAGCTAGAAATTGCCTCTGTTAGCTACACAGCACAATCCTGTTTTACATTAATGCACGATCAATAATAATCTAATTAAATATTTTCCCACACGGAGAACTTTTTTTTATTATTAGTGGTACTCTGGCGATGATATACGGGTTGCTTTTATCTATGTAACTGTAAGAAGGCTTTTACTTGCACCCGAGTACTTTAGGATTCGAATACTTCCTCCACTGCTGTTAGCAAATGGGTTTTCAATTGAGTATCGTTGTGTTAAACGTGTTTCTAGTTTTACGCCCTTCTACAACCCCTACTGGCCGTGCAGCGGCAGTGTAGGAGTGTGTGTGTGTGTGTGTATATATATATATATGTGCATATGCATGCTATTTATCCTGATCCTCGAATGTCACTTTATGAAATTTGATCGTTTCATGCCAGTAACTGATAGTCTTTGGTATCAAATGCATCCTGGCATCATAAAGCTGCATTTCTAAATTGCTCCTGCTTTTGTTTCCGTTCCTCCTAAAGCTGTAACTGCAGGCAGTCTAATGCAGCTCTTCAGCTAGACTGAAACATTAGACTTACAGTTCTTCTGCTATGAAAGTATAGGAGTGATGGCTTGATAAACTATGCATTATCCTCTGCTGTGCTTCTCAGCAGTGCCTGAGAGAAGTCGAGGGCTAAGCCCCAGAGGGAAATGGTATGGTAATAGGGTGGAATTGCTGAGGAGGAAGATGGATCTTCTAATGGAGCTGATGTTCAGTCAGCTGTTACTGCTGCAACATGACACATTTTACCTCTGCAGTTTACACTGATGTTGTCTTTACTTTTAAGGAATGCCTTACAGTCTACCTAAAAACAATCATTACCTTTTCATAAGAAAATTAGAAAAATCCAAATTTGAGAGAAAAGCAAGCTAAAGTCAGGCCCTCTTCTGGCAGTCCTTTTGTAGGTAAACACAGGCAGTTCACAGTGATCAAGACTCTGTGCCTAAATACAACTGAACCTTCAAGAACATAATTAATATGGCATTAGTAACACCTTTGTTTACTCACCATTTCAAGGTGGTTAATGGGGCAATCTTGATGATCTTTAAAAGTGTCCAATTAATAAGTATAGATAGCATAATCTATAAGAAATCTACAGCATTGTTTTTATTTCAATATATTTAAACATTTATTACAAAAATAAATTTCATACAAGAACAATTGGCAACTTTTAAATGGTTTGAAGACATGTAGTACGGAAAATCTTCCAACAATTACAAAACAATGTTTTTTTCATCAATTTGTCATTGTTATGTTATTATCTCACAATTTACAGTCAGGCATCTCAAAATTTCTATTTACCAACTCAAATTTAGAAGAAAATATGATCCTAAAATTTGAACTTGAAATTTTGACTTATGGATGGTATTTTCTTTCTGTCTTTTTTTCAGTGTCGGAAACAATAATATACAGCCAAAAGTTATAAAATGGTGCCTAATATGTAAAAGAAATGAGTGTAAAAGAAATACTGAATGCAAACAATGACAAAGAGAAGAGGAGATCTAAGCAAACCCCCTGCTAAACAGGTCAAAGAGGACACGAAGCACTAAAGATAAATCAAAAATGAAAGAACAGTTTTAGTGATTTTCAAGTTATACACTTATTAAAAACTGTCATATAGTCTGCATATACTTTGTTAGATGAGGAGTCTATATCCATAGATCAACTTAAATGTGCACAGTGGTTGGTTCCTTACAATGGCTCTGTCAGATCTTTACCCAACATGAGTATTAAAAAAAAAATCAGCTGACAAAAGTAAATAAGCGGAATGACTTTCTTTGTAAAAAAAACCCCAAAACATTTAGATTGAGCCAGTAACAGAAGCTATGCTCTTATTTGGTCAGACCTGCAGGTTGGGGAAAAAACTGCTAACATGAATGTGATAAAACAGCAGCAGCTGACAGGAGCACAGATGCTGTGTGCTTATTTTTACCATTCATTATAATTTGTAGTGTTAGCACAGGAGGTATTGTGTTTAATTGCCACGCAAGTTATCCATTCATGTCAGCATAAGCTCTAAATGCCAACATTAATGTGCCCAGCAGGTTCAAACCTGTCTGTACTGGTCAAAGTTTGAAGCACTGAATATTTAAACCTGATATCAGTGCCCAATACTCACCTAATACACATGAAGATGTAAGGACACTTCCACAGTCTCCATGACAACCTATACTGTTGCTGTACATATGCATGTTTTTTTTCCCCTCTTACTGTCATTTTGTATGTCCATGAAGTTCTCCCATAAAAATCTTACAATACAGTGTACACCAAAATGGAGCTATGAACAGTGAGGCTTTATGTCGTCACCTTCTCCTCGCTTCCCGTATTTCCTTTCCTTTCCTTCCAGCGTTACTTCCAAAGGCTCCAGGGTATTTCAGTGACCCATGCAGCATCCTGCTTTGAAGTGATGTGAACATCTTCCAAACTAAATGTTGCAAGAAGTCAGTGAAAGTGCTTCTTTAACAGCATAATGGAATCAATCTTTGCTTTACAAAAACCTGAAGGTGGTCTCCAACATCACACTTTCTCAAAGGGGAATAAATGTTGCTCTTGACCCTTCTTCTCTCGTTTTGTTACTTTCTTCTTCTTCAGTCCGCTGGCATTTCCACCATCCTCCTCTGCTTGTCTGTTCTGAGGCCAGGACATTGCTAGAGTCTCAGATGCCGTCTTAGCTCCCGGACTTTCACCCTCAGCAGCCTCCTCATCTGAGGAAAACCCTTCGGCGTCACCTCCATGAGCAAGGCTCCCCAATCCCTGGTTCTTCTTGTTGTAACGCTTTTTAAGCCTTTCTCTGATCAGCAGTCCTTTCACCAGCAGAGTCCAGTTGGAGATGGCCCTCTTCTCTTTTTTCTAGATATTGCAAGAAAAGAAAAAAAATTAAGCCTGTCACGTACAGGTTTCTACTTGAAAGTAACAGCTGATACTTTGTGTTAAAGTTCCCACCTAAACTACATAATCTGGTAATCTTACAGGGTTGTAATCAATAATTGTCAAATTAGTGATATAAAAGAAAACACACCTCTTTCTCCTTCTGTTTCTGAAGCTCTTGTTCTTCCACCCACGCAGCTCTGAGGACCTCCTCGTGCTCCTCACACGCAATGTAGCCATCAGTGCTGAAACACACACAGGTGAGCAAATATCCCCTTAGCTTTGACATGTTTGTAACAAGTGCATTTATTTCATTTCTTTCTTTAGGAGTAAAAACATCCTGATTTTGATCTTTTTATTTTAAACACTGAAATGATTCAATGCAAATGCTCACAGAGAGGGATTTTACCCAAAGCCAACTAATGAGATGAAAATAAGCTCGCTGGAAACAATACAGATAAATTTGGAAAGCAACTAATTAAGCTTTCAAAAAACCCCCAAAAAAACTAAACAAAACCCGCAGTTGTGATTGAAATTTGAAGATACTGTTATCAGTATCTGCCTTCACAACTAAAACTTGAAAACAAACACAAACTGTTTTTTAAGAAAATATCACGATTTAATGAGTCTGTCTAGGAATCAATAATGATGTGCACGGGTCAAAAAATGCATGATTTTGTTTGAAAGTCCCTCAATATTGTGAAATTCTAACTCTCGGTGCAGTTGTTCATCCTGAGATTCTCCTGTATGACCGTATCCATCTGCTTAATTGTGTTTACACCCCACCGAAGGCTCCTCAGAGTCATCTTACACAGCGTGCGAGTATCCTCCATGGAAGTCGAAACCTGTGACTGCAGGCGCTGCGTCAATGTTCAGTTTCCTGGCCACGCGGTGCAGGTTGGGCAACCTGATATGAACACAGCCCACCGGCAACATACAGGGTTTAAACAGGTAGACATTACCGTAGTCATTACGTGGGACCTGAGGAAAACATACAAAAACACAATGACACTGACACTTTATCCTGTTGGTTCTTATGTTGCTCATAAAACTTTGTTTCGCTTAATCTTCTGAATGTGATGCTCAATCCCACACATATACATACCTTCCCATCCACGGCTATCGGCGGCTGGTACTCTTCAGTTTGCCATTCTCCAAACAGAGCCAGGTCATTCTCATCCTTCAGCTCAGACGTCATCCTGGCCTTACGGGAACGATTAGAGAAGCCCTTCACCATCTAAAAAGGAAAAGACGTGTTTATATTGTGAGTTCATAAAGTCACCAAAGCATTTCATGTTTCCATTATCTGTGTGTCTATTCAGTATGCAGCAGCCTCAGTCTGTTATGATTCCCACTTCCTGTCACCTTGACGATGCCATTGATCCAATTGATCCAATTAATCCAATTAAGCCGAACTAGGATTTAATAGCATCAGTGCTACAAGAAGAATTCAATACATCTGCACTCAGCAGAACATCAATGACAGGAAAGGAAAGGTTTGCAAGATTTTACACCTTATATCATTTCATAATTACACCAGTCATTCTTCAAGACAAATATATCTCTAGCAATAACAGTTTATTCATGGGGTCAGGTTTAAGATCTGGGAGCAATATTGGTAGCATTCCATCAATTCCATATTATTAGTCCTTGTCCATGTATGCTTTATTCCTGTTGACACTTCTCATCAGTATGTCCTGGTTCCTAAATGCCTGATGTGGACCTTGTTAAGCTGGGCAATGTCTGAGCCGGTATGGCTTTGGCACTATATCTCTCGCTCATGTTCTGAAGTAGGCTTGGGCGGGCCTAGCTAGGGGCCCTTACTGCATGCATGCCCTTATCGAGATTTGAACCCCTGGCTTATTGGCTTATTGTCTGGGATAAACCATGGAGCATCGGCTAATAGATCACGAAGATGGCCCCTGAGATGAGCTGCTACAAGAACACCTCCGGCAGATGAAGACAGACAGTGATGAGGAAAAGGAAGAGTAACAAGCACGGCCCATTGACAGATGGGAGGCACATCCAAGTGATTGGGACAGTGTACTGGAACATCTGTACCACATACACAACCAAAGGTGTGTGAGAAAAACAGGGATAAAGTCCAGTGGGGGTTTGAGTTCCAGATTGATAAGCACCTAGTGGTAAACCAACCTGACATAGTGGTGATTGACAAGAAGCAGAAGACCACAGTTGTGACAGATGTGGCAATCCCAGCAAGCAGGAACATCAAGAAGAAGGGGCATGGGAAAACACAGAAGTACCAGGAGCTGAAAGAACAGCTGGAGCAGATGTGGAAGGTAAAGTCCAAAGTGGTTCAAGTGGTAGCAGTACTCAGTGCAGGCTTGATCACAGGGCTGGTTCATTTAGAAAAACTGTGTTTTCATTACCAGGATAAACTCTCCTCCTCAGTCATGAAACATGCTAATGAACACTGCTCAGCTACAACTGCCTTCAGGTCAGAGTGTGACTGAGTTAAAAACAAACTGATGTAACAGAGAAACTAACCACAAATGTCTCCTTTTGAGGAAGGGAAGAGAAGCAAACAAAAAAGAGCTTGCCTTGTATGGCTCCTCCCCTAACCGGACAGTCCTTGCTTCTTTCAGCCACGTGTCTCTGGAGTGCAGGGTGTGCACACAGTCCCTAGAGATGGATAAAGATTTAAACAGGACATGAATGACGACAGTCCTTTTTTTCCCTCTCACACTGAAATCCCAGTTTTCCCTTGCTTTTTGGTTTAGCGATAAGACATAACTAACTAGGTTAACACAGACTGCACAGTATAAAAAGCATTATGTGCGATGGATTTCGAGGTATACTTGAACTAAAATGCATCTGTGATGAAAGTTTAACTAGTTACCGAGAGTATACTGGCTCCCCTCTGCAGTATCCCAGCACAGTGGCTGTAGGAGGATAGATGGCCTCATATTTCAGCAGGTGTCTCTTTAAGGCATACAGCGGGTGGTTCTTATACTCCGCTACAGACACTGGCAGAGGTTTGTTCAGAAGAGTTTTCTGGAGCTGGGAGAGCAGAGCAAAGAAAGAAATTGAAGTAGGTCAAGACATTGTTTCCTTTCATGCCATTCTTGCATTGTTAACGATGGGAGTAGCTGATGGGCTACAGCAATTTCTTGACTAGGAGGAAAAAATTCAATGTTAAAAATAGAGTAAAATCCCGTGTACATTGAACATTTCCTGCTAATCCATATGATGCATACAGGACATGTGATGTGGCCACTGGTTTTGGTAAGAAGAATTGTGCAGAACAGTGAAAAAAAAAAATCGGAGTCACCTCCTTGTCTTCCTTTATGTCTTTCTCGTCCTCGGGTCCCAAGAATGGCTCAAGCGTTTCCTCCCACCAGTCATCATCCACCCGCCTCTTCCTGGATGATGTCATCCAAGTCGGGTCATACTTCTTTCCCAGGTCTTTCACAAACCCGTCCCCGTCCACAGACACCACATATGTCACCGGTGTGGTTGCATTCCGGTAGCAGAGTTGAGGAACTCCAACACCGTGATCCACATCTACGCAAACCCAGGAAGCTGTTTTCTCCAGATACACCTCTAACCACTCGTCTGCACCTGGGCCTTCTCTCTTTGCCCCACTCCTCCTTTTTGTTCCATTGCTCGTTGTTCCTTCTCCTCCTTCTTCCTCTTCTTCTTCCAAGTCTCCATCCTCCTCATCTTTTACCTGTTTTTTACCTCCACTGCTTCTTCTCTTTGGAGCTGCAGTATTTCTGCTGTGTGTGCCCTTGGCCTTCCCTTTCCCTTTATTCCCCTTTTTAGATTTAACCCCACTCTCTGAATCCTCACTGTCATCCTCACTGGTGGCTTGAAACTCATCTTCGTCACTAAGCCCTCCATCCTCCTCCCCTTCGCTGTTGCTCTCTTCCTTGTAGCTGACCTTTGAGGCAACACTGCGGCGTTTTGAGTTCTTTGGTCTCTGCCCCCCTGATACTACAACTTTCTTCTCTTCCTCCTCATCCTTTTCTTTCTTCTTTGCTTTCTTTCCTCCTACGTCTCCTTTGATCGTTCTCCCTCCTGCTGGTCTCTTGGTGCCAGGAGAAATCTTTGGCTCAGGGGAGTTTGTCTTGGATGATTCCTTGCTTGTGTTGCTCTTTTCTGGGGCACCAGCAGATGTTCTAGCCCCTTTGGCCTGCAGAAATGAGATATTTCCAACAGCATGTTTGTAAGAACAGAACAACCTTAAAATCAAATGGCAGACACCACTGCATATGCAATACTGCAATGAGTTGAAATACTGTATATAGAGGCATATGTAAGTGTGATAAAATTGGTGGCTGTATCCTTTTAATAAGAACCTGACACCACAGCTTAGGCTGTACCTTTTGTATTTTCACTTATATTACAGTTTATTCATTTTTTACAGGTTGAAGTATTAGGTAAAGTGCAAAAGTATTTGCTCGTCTGCCTTCACATGCATATGAACTTGAGTAAAATCCCATATGATGTTTTTTCCACTCTTTCCAGCTACAACAGCTTCAACTCTTCTGGGAAGGTTTTCCACAAGGTTTAGGAGTGTTTATGGATATTTTTGACCATTTTTTCAGAAGTACATCTGTGAGGTCAGACACTGATGTTGGACGAGAACGCCTGGCTCATAATCTCCGCTCTTACTCATCTCAAAGGTTTTCTTTTGGGTTGAGGTCAGGACTCGGTGCAGGCCAGTTCCTCCACACCAAACTTGCTCATCCATGTCTTTGCTGACCTTGCTTTGCACTTATGCATTTCCATTGTTCTAGAGTCCAGTGGTGGCGTGCTTTACACCACTGCACCCGACACTTTGCATTGTACTTGGTGATATTAAGGCTTGTATGAAACCGCTTGGCTATGGAAACTCCTTCACTGAAGCTCTCTACACAGTGTTCTTGAGCTAATCTGAAGGCCACATGAAGTTTGGAGATGTGTAGTAACTGCAACCACCGACCCAGCTCTGTGATTTTATGTGGCTTGCCACTTCACAGGCGAGTTCATAGCTGGGATTAACAATCGCCTGTGGAATATTTAGTAGAAAGTACATTTCATGACTGGACTTGTTGCACAGTTGGCATCATATCACAGCACCACACTGGAATTCACTGAGCTCCTGAGAGCGACCCATTCTTCCACAAATGTTTATACAAGCAGTCTGCATGCCTAGGTGCTTGATTTTATACACCTGTGGCCATGGGAGAGACTGGAACACCTGAATTCAATGATTTGGATGTGTGAGTGAATATTTTTGGCAAAATGGTTTATTTTTTAATAGAAGGCTTTAAAAAATGTGTTCTATACATTAAACTGCAGCAGTTATCCAAACGTGACTGTTGTAATTATACCGCAGTGTCTTCTTAGAGGAAAAACAACAAACTGTCAGTACCTTGGCTGATGGGGCTTTGAAAGGAATCGGCTGCAAAGAAAGGACCAATCGGCAGAAGAGCTGCAGAGAGCGTAGGACCAAGAGAAACAGCTGCAGGAAACACAGGTGCATAATTATTTATTTTTCATTTGTACGTCGAACCAGGGGCAGTGTTTTATAGAAAATGGACCGGTTTCATGCCAAACTACTAACGTGAGTCATCTCCTCGTGGTTTCTGGCTGAGAGGCTTGCCAGTCGCCTCTCGAGGAGCCTCTGGGGGTCCGGACCCTCTTCACAGGGAAGACTGGAGTTGAGGGTAAATGTTGCTCTAAACCTGGGAAAGAAGAGAGCCAGATGGATGGAAATGGAATCATAAGATATGGCGATAATTATAGAAGGCTACCAGTGACTGATGGCTTCTGAATAGTAGCTCTATTGTCCCTATTGTACAAATTTCTTGGTTTTACACATTCTAGCATTAAAATAGTTTCAGGAACTTCACATTTATAAGTACATACCATTTAAGCAGCCCAGAGAGGTAGTTTTGGTCGATGCGCTTAGCTGCCATGGTGAAGTGGGCAGGCAGCAGCGACAGAGTGACGGCCAGCAGGTCTGGTTCACTGCACAACCTGTTGCGGAACATGGCGCTGGCAATCAGGCACATGAGGTGGACCTAAGAGACCAATCAAAGGTTCGGAATGTCAGGGATGAGCTAGAGAAGCACCATGAAAGGAAAGGTAGAACTAAACAGCGTGTTTTCACCTTGTGGGTGTCTATCAGCAGGTCCTTCTTATATCGGTTCACCATTCGCCTCAGATACGTCTCAAGTTCCGCCTGCTTTTTTTGCCTGGCCAATCAGAAATCATGATTATTGGGTTAAAACAAATATACCATTAACTGCACACCCATAGATAACGCATTTTCCACAAACTAATCACATAAACACACAATTACAGGTCCCTCTCCTGACACCTGTGGAGAAAATTCATACTAATGTACATTTGAATGAAACTCCATGACCCAAAAATGTTTTCCTGAATATAATGAAAGGATCGGGAGTTTGGAGACATCAGCTAACAATGTCTGGAGCTACATTCAGATTGTTTTGATATAAACAAAATCTAATTAAACTCAGAGCATGAACACAATGAAACTTTATTTAAATTATGCTAGTGATTCCTGAGTTTTAATAATGAGGTTGATTTGTTTTGATTGACTTTTGGATGTCTTCCTGTGTTCATTTCATTTTACAGATTAACACCTCAACTGTTTAAGAAATAATATCACAAAAAAGTCTGTTTTGCAACTCTTTTTTTAAAGAGCTATTTTATTTTCAAAAGTTTAGAATTTTATGTTGAGCATGTGCATATTCTATATTCACTTACCTCTTTCTGACTTCTGGGGTCTCGATCTCAATCTCCACAGGCTCAGAGGGCAGGACGGGTTCTAGAGGCTCGAGTGGACCCAGCGGCTCAGCTAGCTCTGATTAACACACACACACTATTCATTTCCTTTGTTTTCCATTACTCCCTGCTTAGCATAGGAATAAAAAACAAAACAAAACAAAGTGTTATTACAAATGTTACGGATTTTACACTTACCTTCCACTTCTTCCCAATCATCCTCATCTTCCTCCTCACTGTCCTCCCCTTCTTCTTCTTCTTCTTTCTCTGGTTTCTTGGTGTTCACCTTAAGCCGTGGTGGGGAGGTCACCATATCAAAGTCATCTTCGCTATCATTCTCCTCCATAATGGGTGACTCAAAGTATTTGCTGGTATTGACAGCAGAGCTGGTGTCAGATTGGGAAGACAATTTATTTCCTGCTGCTCGCTTTGAGGGCGCGCGGGGCTTAGGGATGACCTTCCTCTCTATCTTTTCCTCTTTATCTTTGATGTCCTCACCTGGTAAAACAGATTGAAAGATGTTTTGAAGCCTCTGTGCTTGACTGAGAATAAAGGAAAACACGTCAATACAAAACAGAAGTACAACCACCCTAAAAATGTATTATATTGCGAGCCAATTTTCTGCATGAGGATGTTTTTTCTTTCTTTTTTTGCTACAGAAAATTGACAAAAGTGCCTTAATTGTCTGGAGAATCATTTTTGTGCCACTGTAGGAAGTGCAACAGCATTGTTTATCTGAATGAAAACCACAGTTTATGAATGATTTACCGCAAAGCATGAAGGGAAGTGCTGATACTGGCCTATGAGTACATAAGATGGATGACCTAAATGCCTCTAACACTGAAGAATAAAGAAATCTATATGAATTTTTGATTCTTTAATCCAACGGAGGAAAAATCAACAATAAAAATGAAAAAAAAAATTCCAGAAAAAATATTGGTTATTTTAAACCAGATGCTTGTATTAGCCTAAAATCTGAAAATTGGTTTATCACTACTATATACACCACAGAGATAATGCTCTTATTCAAATACACGTCAGAGATCACGTCTGAGAAGCTGCAGATAAACCAGCAGGATTAAGAAGTTAACACACACACTTACACCATCTATGCACAAAATATGGTTGGTGTTTTGGTATGTGGAGCACAGATGTGCATCCGGGCCAGCAGATCCACTTCAGCAACCATGCACATCCTTAAGCAGTGCACCTGGATGCTCATACAGTGCCTTTATGGTTATGGCCATAATAGCTCGATATTATGCATTGCCTCCAATAAGCCGAAGCTTTGCAGTGATGTGTGACATAAATTATATTTTTGTCACGTTATAACTGCACAAAAACTGCTTCTCAGAGCAGTCAGAGGGAATGGATGACAGAGGATGTGTTTTACATTTCAATTATTTTATAATATTGTGAAGTAGTATTTTTCATTTACTACAACTAATGCTGATGTTAGTCATCTGTGTGAAACTTTTCCTCAGATGAACGTGTGTAAGTTTATTCATGAACCCAGGCTCACTGTGCACAGACCGCTTAGCTAACCTCCCCTGTACTTCACTTAATTTCCTAACTATTGGGGGCCAGAGGTTCCATTTATTTAATGACAGACACACATTTTAGGCAACTCCGACTTTTCATACCAGCATCTTTCTTCTTCGCTCTTGTTTTTGCCCCGCAGCTCTTCGCTTTCAGCACCTGCTTCAGTTTCTTTGTGTCGCCCCCCGTGTTTGCGCACTCTCTCCTCCTCGCCATGCTAGCTGCCGTCAGTGGAAGAACTTTCTTTGAATAATAATATCCAGAGCTAGACGAGCAGTAGTCCTTCAGAGCTCCACATGCTGTTGTATAAGGGCGAGGAAACAGCAGTTACCCAACACTGCCATTCAGGAGTTTTCATAATACAAGAAACTGCACCCGGTTGTTGTGGAGGCCGGACCTTGACGTCATATCCGCTCTCCTGTCTTCTTCTTCTTCTTCTTCTTCTTCTTCTTCTTCACTAAATAGATCCAATTCAGCTCCCTATAATTACAAGTTAACACCTGGATATTTATAAGTAGGCTGACACCAACATTTGTTTATAAATGGCTTTATGGTCTTATACATATATATACATATATATATATAAAATGTGGTGTTTCAGGGAGGTGTAATACCACTTTTGGGCACTAAGGGGTGGTGTTGTGCTTTCCATAAGGTTTTCAACTTCGACAAAGGTCAGCTCCACATGCTCCTGGTAGTTAGGTTTCATATTCATACTCGTTTTTAACAGCCAGTGATCTCTTTTAGGTTATATAAAGAAGCATTTAGCCAGAAGCATGTTCAGTGTGTTCAACAGTAGAAAAACTACAGTAGAGACACAGTATCAGAAGAACCTCTAGCTACTGTACATGTTTGATGTAATTTAGTGGTAGCTAAGCATGTTTGAAAGGGCTGATGTTCAGTGTTATCAAAGAGGCTGTAACTGAGCACGCGGTGTCAGCAGTGGAAGTCAGTGGTTGTGCTGAGAATGAGAGTGAGAGGTTGAAAAATGAAAAACACTGTTATCCACTGTGTAATGCAAACTACTCTGAGCTCCACTCAATAAAAGCAGCCAAATATGATTCATGAAAACTTTTTAAATGGTCTTCGGTTGATAAATGGATTTTTTTTTCCCCCACAGACCCCAGTGTGCCCGGAAGCATGTGTTGAGACGAAGCAACAACCGGAAAGAAAACAGAAAAAAAGTCAGTCACGAATTTGGATTGGACTTTAATACATTGCTGAACAGATTCTGCATGATCACCAGGGACAGGAGACCATTAACAGGCCCGTTCAGCTGTCTGTCAAAATCACCTTGTTTGCAAAGAAAAAAACAATCCTTGGCAGAAAGGTAGAGAAATAAGAAGCAGAAAAGCTGGTGTCATGTCATGTGAAGCAGAAGTAAACTGTGTTATTCTAGGTATTGTGAACAGGGATTTCCTCACAGTTATTTTCTAAAACTTTACACAAGCAGATATCAGTGGTTTTTTGGGAGGTTGTGTCAACTGTGTCACTGCCTTCCACCGAGCAAGATGCTGTTTTTTGGGGGGATTTTTTATCCCACTGGAGCCCTGAAAAGACTTAAGTGGGTAAACGACGATGCCTGAGCGCATTCTTCATCTTGTTATTTTGCGCCGGGGTCTGCGTGACTTCCCTGAAACAAGTTCTGCCTCTTGATTCTGAATCAATTTGGCTCATTTCAGTTCAATTTAATTTTCATTTAGCCCCGTTGTGATCTGTATCGATCCCATTGAGGTTCTGTGGCAGATGTGTGTGTGTTTCACTTCAGAGAGCCATCTGTCAGCTGATACAGTCAGACAGCTTCAGACTGACTCACTGCAGTATGAGCCTCCTGAAACCAGGGGGCCCTTTCCATAGGTACTGCATACACCATACATATGCATAGATACTGCATGCATACGCATAAATGAATGCGTGTTTATGTGTGGAGCGCGTGTGCGTCCATACTTCTGTTAGAGGCTTTGCCTTGACCATCATGTGGATGTGTGCATGCATATGTGAGCATGCAGGCTAGGCTAAGAGTGTGCTTATACATATAGTCTTTAGCATGTGGATGGGTGAGGTGACATGGCAGGAGTCCATGGTCGTGCGCGCTTTGCTCCCAGCGCAGTGCATGGCTTCCATCCCTATATGAACCATAAGTACAGTCAGATAGGAATAAAAAGCCATACAATGCACGGGGCATTGAGAAGACTGAGTTCTATGAACAAGGACACACACACACACACTGACAAACACGCATGGAGTCGGATGATAGATGGAAAGAGATTCAATTGAAACCCCCTTGAGCGAGAAAAACTCGAAAAAGGATAAGAGCAGGTGAAGGACACAGAAACCAAGAGAGAAAAACGAGCTTATAGGAGATGACTCTGCACGGCACTCCAGGTATGCTGAAGATCACACCGAGACTAATCAGAAAACAGCCTGCAAGTCAGATGGGGAGTACATGAAGCCTCGTCAAAGGCAAGTGGTGGTGAGGTGTGGCAACAGGTCTGACATCCACAATGCAAGGACACGGGCTATTTTATGCCCACGGTGTTGTCTCCACGGCAGCTGGATCTGTATTGATGATGATCAGAGCGAGCTGTCCCGGTGTATGGTGTACAAGATTTTTATAACAACAGTAGTAGTAGTAGTAAACGCCATGTTCGAAAGCAAAGACCTTCTTTTTGGATTCTGAGTAACCACACGGTGTCTTTGCTTTACCTTACCCTGTATGTATCCATATATATGTATATATTACAAGGACATCCATTTCACCCCTTAAAGCTTTCCCAAAGGCAATTCATGTGAATTTGCAACACAAGTACAGGAAAGTGTTTGAAAATTCTTACAATGCATGTTCATTTGAAATTTTTTCTTTGATTAAATGAGGCAGTTACCTTCTTGTTAACTTATATAGGTTTAAAAACATAAAAATCGACATCACCTGCTAATAGATTTTGGTCGTTTGGTGTTACGTAATTGGAGCATACGTTCTCCATATGATCTCTCTTCACACGCTCTAATCTGTGCTGCTTCTTACATGTGGATTTTTTTTTTTGAGTAAGTTATAAAGGGGGCAGATTTTCTTCCATTGAGCACCTGTTGTCTGCTTGGACACTTTTGGTTTTAAAGCAGCTTGGTACTTTTTAAGTCCACTTAACACAATGTATTACTTGATAGTTTTTGAATCCCCCACTTTTTCTACCACATATGGTCATTTCTGGATTATCCCCATAAACAAATGTCTGCTAGCACATGTAAGACTGAGATCTGTCTCAGTAACAGACATATTTTTACAGTGGAGTTTATGTTTTAATGCTGAAATATCTGCTGTCTGATATATCCTCCTAAGCCCCAGGAAGGATTTAGCAAAAGGATTGAGAATTTGGCAAGAAACTGTAATAAAATTAGAATCCCTCCTTCTCCCTCTTAAAAAAATCCCTACAAGTCTGGAGTAGGTATGTTATTATTGATTTCTAAAGAAATAAAGCCCCAGAAACCATTCCTCTCGTGCCTTAAGAGGCTTCGCAACTTCAAGGAGCGGATATGAAATAAATCCAATTACCGAGCTGTCAATCAGGCCGCTAATTAGTACGACTCCAGCACACTAAGTGGTATCAAAGCTGGAAACTCAAAATAGAGGCGACAAGAGGGAGAGACACACACACAAACACAAATTCACAAAACAAGCAATTCTTAGCTGAAAACATAACTACCGCAAATAAACCCCACATCTCAGACGCTTTCTCATACAACCTCCAGACAAGCTGCTGCTATTTCTGGATCGCCACAGACGAGCAACAGCAGCTTGAGGGAGGAGGAGGAGGAGGAGAAAGGGGAAGGTGGGGGGGTAGAAGAAGATGAAGAAGCGAGCATCCGTGCATCCGAGCCGGGACCCTGCAGGTTCTTCTTCTGACTCAGTACCCGCGTTCCCTGTGTCCTCTCGGGCTGCTGCTGCTGCTGTGGCGTCTTCTGAGCTGTGATTCGAGCAAACAGTGTCCGGCTTCAAACAGGTGGGCTCCGGGGTCGCGCTTGGGCTTCTCTTCGAGGGCCTGAAGAATTGTCCAAAAGAATAGTTGTTCCCTGCTCCCGTCCTCTCGTCCTCAAAGAGATAGGGTCAGTGATGCTGCCGCTGCCACCGGTGGATATGTGGAGTTTGACCGCCCCTTTACGCATCTGTGCGTATTTTCATTCAGCGGCAGAGGCAAACAGACGGAGAGAGAGCAGGGAGAGAGAGAGTGAGAGAGAGGGGAGGGAGGGAGGTGTGGTGGAAAAGGACAGTAGTAGGAGGAGGGGGTGAGGTAACAAAAGCCCACAAGTGAGGAGGAGCTAACAAAAAAAAGAGGGATTGTGGGGGGAAAGCGAGGAGGAGGCATCATCATACCTGAGCAGGAGACCTCCCTCTGTTTATGTGTGTGTGTGTGTGCGCATGTCTGTGTGTGTGAGTGTGTCTGTCTGCAACAGAGAGGGTGCGAGGGAGGGGAGGCTTATGTCGCCTCAGTGACGCGCAGTGTTAATAAAAGCCAGGCAGAGGGGCTGAATAGGGCTCTTTTCTGTCTCATTCAAATACTGCCAGAAAGCACTTTCATTCTGCTGATAAAGTAGAGTGTGTGTGTGTGCGTGCGTGTGTGCTGGAGCAAGAGAATGTGTGAATATGTGGGTTTGCATCTCCGTGTGTTTGCCCTCTCTCTCTCCCTCTACCTCTTTCACTGCCATTTACACTGCGAACAGCCAGACAAACAGACAGATGAGTGTACAGCCCAACTGACGCCTGATAAACACAAGCCCCCCAAAGTCAGACTTCACATGGAAGATGTATCTCTATCTATCTATATATATCTATATCTATATATCTGTAAGGCAAAAGATGAGGGAAGAGACACATTACTGAGCAGACAGGGAGAGACCGATCAGCAAAGAAGGAGTCCTTGGCACCTGCTTTCCTTAAATTAAGTGGGAAGCGAAAGGGAAGAAAATTAGTATGTCTACAGACGAGACACATTTAGAGAATAAAAAACAAAAAAACAGGGCAATAAAGGTCAAGAAGAAACGAAAAAGAAAGAAAAAAGAACTGGGGGAACACTGTGCGGGGATAAAGTAGAAATACTTGCTCTCGACCTCTTCCCTCCTCCTCCTCCTCCTCCTGTTCTCAGGGACTCGGCTGGAGTCGCATTCCAACGCGTCGCTCTCAATCCCTGTTACTCCCGGCAACACAGTTCCTTGATCTGGTCCCACGTCATGCCGGGCAGAGGAGGAGGAGGAGGAAGAGGGAGTAGGACGTGAAGGTGGGTGCCTCAGAGAGGGAGGGTAAGACAGGATGGATGAGAAAAATGAGTGTACGCAATGGGAGGAAGAAAAGGAGGAAGATAAAGAAAGACACAAGAGAAAAGCAAAGAGAGGAGAAGGTGAAGGAAGAAAAGAAGGA